GTCAAAAATGAACAGAATAGTTGCCATCTACTTTTTTTATTTTTAAGCTAAATATAGATCAGCCAGATGAAAAAAAATAGTTTGGGGAAAAGATCTGACTAGAGTTTCTACTGTATTGGGAATGGCCAACAAAAAAGGTCTGGAGAGAAAAAAAGTTCTAGAAGAATGTCAAGAGTATTACTCGCCTTGAGGCCCCACGTACACACAGCCCAGAGAGACATATCCAACTTGGCTCTTTAAGTAATAGAGAAGCAATAAGTAAGGGCTATGCCAAGATGGAAATGCTGAGCAAGCAATGCCTCTGCAACATCCAACATGTTGCAGAATACCCAATGTTACTATGTACCACTGTGGCAAGAATCTGCTAAACATGATGTAAGGGATTCAGAGGCGTCTGGGTTGAGACAAGGAGGATGCAGACTATGTGGACCTCATTGCCAGGTCTCATGGCAGGTTCAGTTATGAGCAATGCATACTAGCAAACATGGAATGGAACCAAAGAGACAAGTTACATCCTAGGCCATTGTGGACAGAGAACAGTTTTGGACTAGATGCTACATTCAATGACATTCCAGTTTTATGTAATCGCCCTGGAACTTAATTTATTCTGGATGAAACAGAAGGAGAAGAGGGAGGAAGAATGTTGAATTGACTGAATTTAAATCAGTGATTGAGTTATTCTGAAATGATGAGTTTTAAGTTTTCTTGGTGACATCAAAAACAGGGATTTAAGATATGTTCAATTGTAGAGAAATAAAGTTATATTTCTGCACACCTTGGTTCTGATGGAAAATTCTCATCTGCTATGCCATACTCTATGTGTATTACTGAGGGTGAGAGGGAGCTAAAAATTTACATAAAGTAGACATATATACCATAATGTGCTCTTTTTATCTTATCTTTGAAGATGACAAATACTAATAATTTTAAAGTGAGAATAAATAAATTTTAAATCAATTTTAAAAATTTTAATGTGTAATATTCCTAGTTTTTACTATACTTAAAAAATATGCCCCAAATTAATTAAGATAACTTATGAAAATGGTCTGTAGTTTCTAAAATAATATAAAGAAAAAAAGCTTCTAATCCATCTTTAATTATTTGGCCTTAAGTGCCTTTGTTTAAGATGTCAATGCCCACATGTGATACTAAAGGGTGTCTAAAAAGGAGAAAGAATAGTTATTTGATGCATGAAATGTAGAAGAAAATAATGCATGTCAAGATGTTATTCTCTTCGAGAAGGATCTTGAGTATAAAAAGCCACACTTGGGCTTAAAGACAAACAATTATAGGTGAAACCAGAGAAGTTTTGCAAAGGAGTATAACAAGTTAAAACATTTGGTTTAGTGATTATTAAAGCTAAGTTTAAAAATGTTTCTAACATCATTATACAATTTATTACTAATCACCAGTAAATTAAAATGAAAAATATAGTTTGTAATGCTTTGAGTTAGCCTACAAAAATGGCATGTATTTTAATCATTTGGAAAAAGAAAGTTGGCTTTATAATTTATTCTTTTTATCATTCTACAACACAAAAAAGGCCCTAGTATCATTCTGGGTTATTAAGAACAACTCGAGAAAGTGACGGTTCATCCTTTTGGTATTCTGGAATCCTATCAGTGCCAATTTGATTTTGTAATACTTTTCCCATTTCTATAGGACACTTAAGTTAAAATTACAATAAACTAAAATAAACTTTCCCTTGAGAAATTTTAGTGAATTTTCTTATGTGCTCTTAGATTCCCAGAAATACACCAATGTTTGGCAACCACATGAACTATTCATCCCAGATTTGTGTAAAAGTAGATAACTGATTCTATGACTACTAACATGAACTATTTTTATTTAATTAGGAATCAGTTAAAGATGTAAACTATAATACTGAACAAATTTGCCTCAGGCAATTTTATATCTTATTAAGACTGTTAATAAGGGTACAGCCGGTAGCTTTAAATTGAGCTAATGCTCTTCACTATTCTGAGATATCTAGGCCCTTAAGAATTAGCTAAATCTACTCTGTCTGTGCTCAACAAATGAAAAACAAAGCTTAATGACAGCATATGTATACAGCATGGTTTACTGAATATTTTAAGCTCACTGCTGAGGCCTATTCAGAAAGAAAAAGATTCCTTCAAAATATTACTGTTCATGACATGCACCTGATCACTCAAGAGCTGACATAGAGATGTACAAGAAGATTAATGTTGTTTCAGTGCTGCTAACACAAGATCCATTCTGAAGACTATGGAACAAGGAGTCATTTCAACTTTCAAGTGTAATATTTAAGAAACACATTTCATAGGCTATAGTTGCTATTCCTGTGATGAATCTGGCATAGTACATTGAAAGCTCCTAGAAATGTTAACTATTCTATACAATAGAACATTCATGATCATGGGAGGACATAAAAATATCAATTAATAGGAGTTTGAGAAAGTTGATTCAATTCCTCATGGGGACTCTGAGGTGTTCAGACTTTGATTGCAGCATGGTGGGAAATAGAGAGAAGTTTAGAAGTGGAGCCTGAAGATGTGCTGAATGGCTGCAATGTCATGATAAAACTTGAATGGATGAGGAGTTGCTTCCTTTGGGCGAGCAAAGAAAGTGGGCTCATGAGAATAGATTCTATTCCTGGTGAAGATTCGAGAACACTGTTGGAATGAAAACAAGAATTTAGATATGACATAAACTTATTGATAAAGCAGTGGCAGTGTTTGAAGAGTTGAGAGGACTGACTCAGTATTGAAAGAAGTTTACCCTGGGTAAACAGTTCTAACACTTAACTGCCATGTGAGGTTGCATTTAACTCATGCTAGTTTTGAGCCGGGTCTCATGAAGAAGACCCTGCAGTTGGTCATGAAAATCTTACTTGCTGATGTTCCTATTGTTACAATTAATATTGACAATTTAATTCCAAAACCATGGACGTTATGCATATAACTCATGCACAGAAAACAATAAAAATAACACTGAAAGGATTTTGTTTAATAAAACTCCATGGCCCCAGGGAAATTTTTTTTCCTAGGGTACAATGTGGTTAAACAGCATCACATACTACAGAGAATCTTTCACGAAAGAGAGTCAATGATGTGGCAAACTTATCTTTGTGTTGTTATTTAAGATTGCCACCGCACCTTGACTTTAGTAATTACCCCTCTAATCAGTCAGCAGCCATCAACATGGAGGCAAGACCCAAACCAGCAAAAAGTTAGAGTTTGCTGAAGGCTCAGATGATTGCTAGCACTTTTCAGCAATAAAGTATTTTTGGCTGGGTGCTGTAGCTCATGCTATAATCCCAGTCCTTTGGAGGCAAGCTGGAGGACTGCTTGAAGCCAAGAGTTTGAGACCAGCCTGGGCAACAGAGGAAACCCACTATACACACACACACACACACACACACACACACACACACACACACAATTAGCTGGGCATGGTGGTGTATGCCTGTAGTCCTAGCTACTCAGGAGCCTGGGGGGGAGGGGGGTTGTTTGAGCCCAGGAGTTAAAGGCTGCAGTAAGCTATGATCTCACCACAGCACTCTAGCCTGAGCAATAGAGTGAGACCCTATCTCTACAAAAGAAAAATTATATTTTCCTTAAGGTATGCGCATTGTTTTTAGATATAATGCTATTGCATGCTTATAAACCATGGTATAATGTAAACATAACTTTATAAGCACTGAACATTTAAAAAATCATGTGAATCATTTTATTGCAATATTTATTTATTATGTGTCTGGAACTGGACCAGCAATCTCTGAGGGATCCATATAAAAAATCCTCAAAACTCAACAGTAAGAAAGTACCCATTGCAAAACATGGCAAACACATGAAAAGATACCTAACAAAGATGACATATGGATACTAATAAGCACATGAAATTAACATTTCTCTACATGGGCCAATACACAATTGGAAAAGTATAATAAAAATAAGATGCAATAGCAATAAAAGTTGAAGGTTTATAAATTAGCTTAGCCAAGAATAACAAGAGCTTTACGGAAAAAACAAAAACAACAAAATATAAAGGAATTAGAGGAACTGATAAATGAAGAAACTTTCATACTCATAGTTGGGACATTAAATGTCAACAGGTATGGATCTGGAGGCATTTGAGGTTCCATTTCTGGGAAAGTAACAGGCAAAGAAATAAAATGTGTGCTAGACTAGGTAAAATGAGGCAGAGGCACACCATTGCAAAGCACAGAGCAATCAGAAGAATGAGATTAGACACCCTCCCAGAAACAGATGCATTTAAAACATAGAGCTGAACGAAATAAGTAAAACAGAAAATAAATCCACAATACCTTTTATGCAGCTTGACACTCACTAAATATACACTACACAATACAATTTGTAAGAAGACAAAGTAGGTTCATATTAAATGCTATAGAATCATAGCTCATGGGGGAAGGGACAGAGGTGGGCCAATGGAAATGAAAGAAATGAAGTTCTAAAACTTAGTTTTGCATATCAACAATCAAAAACGGGGAGGGGGGAAGCCATTGATATTATTTCATTTGGATTATCTCTAAATATTTAGTATGCCTAATTTTAAAAATAAGGTTTTATAATTATAAACTACATACATGGAAGAAAATTCAGAAAATAGAGGAAATAAATTAGTAACTAATCTTTCCAATTAAACTTGTCCATAGTGAATATTTTAGGCTTCATTCTACCTATACTTTTGTCTTTTGAATTGGCTGTTTCTTTGTATAGTGAAAATAATACTACATGTGTAATTTAGCATTTTTTCCACTTAATATTTATTGATCATTTTTTACATGTTATTTACCTTTGTGACTGTATGAATGGTAGATAATAGATTGTTTCTACTTGTCACTTAGAGATTTTTGTTTTATAAATGCTAAAGCTAGCATTGAAAATGGGAGACTAACACTATAAACAAAATCATGACATTCTGTAAGTATTATATCACCACAAAAATTTTAATTTTAATACATTTAAGCAAAAAGAAATCATGAAAATACTTACCTTTACCAGCTATAGGTCAGCAAGAAAGTGAAAAACAAACCATATTTAAATGGGTTAAGGACATATATATTCATATAACTATTTTATGTTTATTTTCTCAATCTATACTTATGACTTCAAAAGCTGTTCTTCTAAGAGATGATTAGGAAATAAAAAGAAATATGTAAGTCAAGGAAAGGAGGAAAATACTAAGGTTAAAACCAGTCTCCAGAGCAAGTCAATGGCATCTCTCTGAAACAGGTCAGAGTCAGTATTCTTATTCTGATGGGTAGGCGTTTATTTTCTTCCTGTCTTTCTATTGTTTTTGTTTCTTTGTTTCTAAGAAAATTAAAATATCTGCTTTGATTAAAAACTTTACTAGTAGCCTGGAATGCAAGAAAGCTGTTGTTAACATAATCAAAACAGTTTGACCTTTTAGTTATGACAATTCAATTCCAGTTTCATATGCAGTCTAACCAACACTGCCTTGACAATAAACTGATATCAAACAGTAGAAAGGTTTTGACAGAAATAGTTCACAAGGCTATTGCAATTAACTGATTATTTAATTCTTTTATTTATTAATTCTTTTCTTGCCACTATGTGCAAGATGGATGATATCCACGAGCTCAGCATACTCCTTGGGCATTCCTTGTACTCTACATGCAAAGAAAAGTATTGGAACGCAAGTGAATGAGGGTGACAATTTCACAGAAGTAACTATCAAGTTACTGTAATCCAGTGGTTCTCAACTAGGAGTAATTCTGCCCCAACTTCAACACTGCACTCTGGGACATTTGGCAATGTCTGAAGATATTTTTGGTTTCACACCTGGGGGTGGAAGGTTACTGGCATCTAGTGTGTAGAGCCTTATTGCTGATATGGAGGAAGTTTTAGTGGCCTGGATGGAAGATCCAACCAGCCACAACATTTCCTTACACCAAAGCATAGTCCAGAGCAAAACCCTAACTCTTTTCAGTTCTATAAAGGCTGAGAGAGGTGAGAAAGCTGCAAAAGAAAAGTTGAAAGCTGGCACAGGTGGTTCATGAGTTTTAGGGAAAGAAGCTGTCTCTATAACACAAAAGTACAAGGTGAAGCAGCAAGGGCTGATATAGAAGCTGCAGCAAATTATCTAAAAGATAACTAAGATCATTGATGAAGGCAGCTACACGAAACAAGATATTTTTCAATGTAAATGAAAAAAGCCTTTCTTTGGAAGATGCCATCTAGAACTTTCATAGCTAGACAGAAGTCAATGCATAGCTCCAACATTTCAAAGGACAGGCTGATTTCATTATTAGGGATAATACAGCCAGTAGCTTTAAATGGAAGCTAATGCTCATTCACGTATTCTGAGAATTCTAGGCCCTAAGAATTAGGCTAAATCTACTCTGTCTGTGCTCAACAAATGAAAAAACAAAGCTTAGATGACAGCATATGTATACAGGCATGGTTACTGAATATTTTAAGCTCACTGCTGAGCCTACTGCTCAGAAAAGAAAAATATCCTTTCAAAATATTACTGTTCATTGACAATGCACCTGATCACTCAAGAGCTGTACCATAGAGATGTAGGCAAGAAATAAGTTGTTTCAGTGCCTGCTAGCAAAGATCCTCTCTCGAAGACGTATGGAACGAAGGAGTCATTTCAACTTCAAGTGTACTATTTAAGAAACACATTTCATAGGCATAGTTTGGTCATTCCTGTGATGAATCGTGGGCATAGTACGATTGAAAAGCTCCCTAGAAATGGTTTAACTACTTCTATATCAATTAGACAGCATTGCATGGATTTCATGGAGGGAACCATAAAAATATCAACATTAATAGGAGTTTGGAGAAAGTTTGATTCAATCCCTCATGGGGACTCTGAGGTGTGTCAAGGACTTTGATTGCAGCATGGTGGGCAATAGAGAGAGATGTTTTACGAGTGGAGCCTGAAGATGTGAACTGAATGGCTGCAATGTCATGAAAAACCCTTGAATGATGAGGATGTTCTTCCCTTTGGGGCGAGGCAAGCCAGAACGAGTGGCCGCTCATGAGATAATTCTATTCGCTGGTGAAGATTCAGAGAACCTGTTGAATGAAAACAAAAGAATTTAGAAATAGACATGAAACTTTAGCTGATAAAGCATGGCAGTGTTCGAAAGTTTGAAACTGACTCCAGTATTGAAAGAGAGTTCTTACCTGGTAAACAGTTCTAACCAGCATTAACTGCATGTGAGTGTGCATTTAACTCATGGCTCACGTTTTGAACCTGGGTGTCCATGAACGACGACCCTGCAGTTGGCTCAATGAAAATCTTACTTGCTGATGTTCTTTATTGTTACAATAATATGACAATTTACCCTTAATTCGCAAAACCATGGACTGTATTGGCGATAATAACTCATGAGCAGAAAACAATAAAATAAGCGAACTAGAAAGGATGTTTTGTTAATAAAACTCCCATGGCCCCGGGAAGATTTTTTTTCCCCCTAGGGATGACAATGTTTAAACAGGGCATCCATACTACAAGAATCTTTCACGAAAGAAGAGTCAAATGGATGTGCAAACTTTACTGTTTGTTTGTTGATTTTAAGAAACTTGGCCACAGTCACCTTGACTTAGAAGCGACGCCTTTAAATCATCACAGGCCCCATCAACATGGAGCCAACGTACGCCAAACCCCAGCAACAAGATTAGAGTTTTGCCTGAAGCTCAGATCATGTGCTAGGCACTTTTCAGCAATAAAGTCATTTGGGCTGTGGCTGTAGCTCATGCCTATCAATCCCAGTCCTCTTGGAGGCCAAAGCTGGAGACGCTTCCGAAGCCAAGAGTTTGAGACCGAGCCCCTGGCAACCCCGGAGTTAAGAGAGACGCGCCACTGTATGACCACCACCACCCACAACACACCACACACACACAACACACACGACACACAATTAGCTGGCATGCGGTGGTGTATGTCCCTGTAGTTCCTAGCCTAACCTCAGGACCCTGGGGGGGGAAGGGAGCGGTTGTTTGAGGCCGCAGGAGTTTAAAGGGCTGCATAAGCCATAGCCACCACGCACTCTCCAGCCTGAGGCCCAAGTAAGAAAAAAAAAAGTGACCCCCTAATCCCACACCAAGAAAAAAATTATATTTTCGGCTGTAAGGTAGCGCCATTGTTTTTTTGAGATATATATGCTATTGCATGGCTTAATAAACCATGATACTCCGGACGTAAACATACTTTAACCAGCACTGAAACATTAAAAAACTCATGTAATCATTTTATTGCAAAATTGACTTTCAATTATGGTGGTCTGGAAGCTGGACGCAGCAATCTCCTGAGGATGGCGCCATATAAAAAAATCCGTCAAACTCAACCAGTGAAAATAAACCATTGCAAAATAACCCCCATTGCAAAACATATGAAGAACCTACACCAAACCGATGACATATGATACTAAATCAACCGCACATGAAATTAAAATTTCTCTACCCCATGGGACTACACCAATTGAAAAGTATAGATAAAAATAATATGCAATAGCAATAAATATGAATAGGTTTATAAAGTTCACTTAGCCCAAGAATAAACAAGACTTACGGAAAAAAAAACCAAAAACACCTAAAAAAAATAAAAGGAAGTTAGAGAAGCTGAATAAATGAAGATAACTTTTCATACCTCATATTGGACAGTAAATGCACAGGTATGGACTCCTGGAGGCCATTTGAGGTTTCCATTGTCTGGGAAATAAAACCCAAAGAAATAAATATGTGTCGCATAGACTAGGTACAATGAGGCAGCAGCAACAGCCATTGTCAAAGCACAGAGGTCTAATCGAAGAATGAGATTAGACAGCCTCCCCGAAACACAGATGAAATTTAATAAACCATAGAGCTGAACGAAAAAGTAAGAAGAAGATAAATAAGCCACAACCAGCCTTGTTATGACAGCTTGACACTCACTAAAATATCACTTAGCACACATAACATTTGTAAGAAATGCAAAGGTAGGTCATATTGAAGATGCTAAGAATCGATGAGCTCATGGGGAACGGGACAGAGTGGGCCAATGAAATCTGAAAGAAAAATGAATTTCTAAAAACTTAGGTTTTGCATTCAACAATCAAGAAAGCGGGTGGAGGGGAGTAAGGCCATAGATAGCGTCAGCCCAGAGAAAAAAAATAGTTGGGAAAAGACTGAGCTAAGTTGCTAAACCTGTGGTTAGAAAAAAAAATTGCTGGGAATGGCCAACAAAAAAGGTCTGGAGAGAAAAAAAGGTTCTAAGAAGAATTCAAGAGTATCTACTCGCGCCTTGGAGGCCAGGCCGTACACACAGCCCAGAGAGACAACTCACAACTTGGCTCTAAGTATATTAGAGAAGCAATGAAGTAGCTGAAGTCAACCGATGGAGGAATGGCTGAGTATAGAAAAGGCCAATGACCCCGCACCTGCACAGCAATCCAACCCATGTGCAAATCCCAATGATTACTATGCTACTACCTGTGGGACCAAGAATCTGCTAAACACTGATGTATGGGATTCAGCGAGGGCAGTCCGGGTTGAGACCCAAGGAGATGCAGACTATGTGTGCCTGCATGTGCCTAGGTCTCATGGGCCAGGTTCAGTTAGTGAGCAATGCATACTACCGGCAAACATGGAATGAACTGCAACCTAGAGGACAAGTTCACTCCCTGAAGGCCCCATTGGGACAGAGAAGCAGTTGTGACTAGATGCCTACATTCAATGACATCTCAGTTTTATTACATGCCCCTGGAACCTTAATTTTCAAGGGGGGTGATGACGAACAAGAGGAGAAAGGTTGAGGAAGATACTGTTGAATTGACTGATTTTAAACAGTAGATTGAGTTATTATGAAATGATGAGTTTTAAGTTTTCCCTTGTATCATCAAAACAGGGGATTTAAGAATGTTCAACGTTTAGAGAAATACAATATACTTCTGCAACACCCCTTGGTTCGCATGGAAATATTCCTCAATCTGCCTATGCCATCCTCTAGTGTACTTACTGATGTGAGAGGGAGCCGTACAAAATTTACATAAAGAGACATCTATCATAAGTGCCTTTTATGCTTATTCCTCTGAAGATGACAAATACTAATAATTTAAAGTGAGAATAAATAAATTTAGAAAATTTAAAAATTTCAAGATACTATCAGTTTTTACCTATACTTATAAAAATAGCCCAAATTTAATACGGGATAACTTATGAATAAGTGTCTGTAGCCTTTCTAAAATAATATAAATGAAAAAAGGTTTTTTTTTTCTTTTTTTTTCTTCTAATCGCATGCTTGTAATTATTGGGCGCCTTAAGTCCTTTGTTTAAGGATGTCAATGCTCCACATGTATACTAAAGGTGTGTCTAACAAAAAGCAAAAGGAGAAAGATAGTGTATTTGATGCATGAAATTAGGAAGAACAGATAAGGCATGTTCAGTCATGTTACGTTCTCCTTCCGAGAAGGATCTTCCGAGTATCACAAAAGGCCACACTTGGGATTAAAGACACAACAATTATAGGTGAAACCAGAGAAGTTTTTGCAAAGGAGTATAACAAGCTAAAATAGTTTAGTGATTAAGTCTGATGCTTCGATCCAATTATACAATTTATTTACTAATCACCAGTAAATTAAAATGAAAAATATAGTTTTGTTAATGGCTTTGAGTTTAGCCTAGCAAAAATAATGAGTATTTTAATCCAATTTGGAAAAAGAAAGTTGGCTTTTATTAATTATTCTTTTTATTTTCATTCTACAACACAAAAAAGGGCCCTAGTATCATTCTGGGTTATTAAAGAACAACTCGAAAAGTGACGGTTCATCCTTTTGGTATTCTGGAATCCTATCAGTGCCAATTTGATTTTGTAATACTTTTCCCATTTCTATAGGACACTTAAGTTAAAATTACAATAAACTAAAATAAACTTTCCCTTGAGAAATTTTAGTGAATTTTCTTATGTGCTCTTAGATTCCCAGAAATACACCAATGTTTGGCAACCACATGAACTATTCATCCCAGATTTGTGTAAAAGTAGATAACTGATTCTATGACTACTAACATGAACTATTTTTATTTAATTAGGAATCAGTTAAAGATGTAAACTATAATACTGAACAAATTTGCCTCAGGCAATTTTATATCTTATTAAGACTGTTAATTGATACATTATTTTTTAACAAAACTTACAAAGCTGAGCATCTGCCTGGAGCGTTCCTCCTTTAGGATTCAGCTTCTGAGTTTGAATTGCAGGAATTGGTTTGTATGATTGACCTGTGGCTCTATACATGGCTTGAACCCACAGTATTCTGTCCTGTTCATCATCACTGGCAAATATTACAGTATCTCCTTCTTTAACAGCATTGAAGAACATGTGACCGCCCTGAAGGCCTGTGGAGGGAGAAAAACATCATTAAAAATTCACAGGACTGGCAGATTTTAGTCTCATTCACTAACTAGCCTCATGGAAAAGAATAGATATGATATTAGGAGCTCAATGCTTTATTTAAATGATTTCTAGTTGAAGATCAAATCCATAATCTAAGATTTGAAAGGAAACAATAATAAGAAGGTTTAAGCTTCCATATCACTTTGGAAATGAAAAATGACTCAGCGAAACAAACAGTCCATGACACAATAGCATTCTGCAAAGCATACAAACATAACCCTCAGAAATACACAGAATAATCTGATATTTCATGCCAGAGAAGGTTGTTTTATCTGTTGGCACATTTACCATTCCAGGAGAAATATATGAGTTTACCAGAAAAAAAAAAAGGTAAGGCAAAAGATGGTACTTCATATTATATGGTATTTTATCTTTTGTAAATTCTTCCAAAAAGAAGATAATATTTTGCATTTCTAAGTGACCAATTAGTGAATATGATCACAGATTTCTATTTCTTACTCTCTATTCATTAATTTTCCATCTCTAATTTATTAATAGCTACATATTTTAATCTTATTATATTAATATCCATATATTCATTTACTATTTTTAGATATCAGGTACCCAGTATGATTCCTAGTATTTATGGAGAGAGAGAGAGAAGTACAATAAGGTATTATTGGGGAAAATTAGTAGAGTATATAATAATTTATTTTCCATTTCTTTCCCTATTTCTGTTGTAACTTTTGCTTTCCAGATCTCCACTGAAAAAATTTATGTAAGCATTGTTAATTTCTCATATAATTGTTCTATTACAGTAACTTTCCTATATTTCATTCTTGTACTAAAATAACAAAGATGATGAATTATAGCTAAAAGCAAAAGCCCTCCAAAAGAAATAATTTGAATCTCCTAAAGTCTTGTCCAGCTATATAAGTGAAATACATACCCTATTAAGTGAGTGGAGTTTGAAATGTAGATGAAGGCAAGGCTACACGAAACAAATATTTTTCAATGTAAATGAAAAAAGACCTTTCTTTGGAAAGAATTGCGCATCTAGAACTTTCATAGCATAGAACAGAAGTCCATGGCACTAGCTCAACATTTCAAAGGGACAGCTGATTTCATATTAGGGATATACCCCAGCTACGGTAGCATTTATTAATTGGAAGCTAATGCTCATTTCACGTATTCTGACAATTCTAGGGCCTTAAGATAATTTGCTGAATCTACTCTGGTCTGTGCTCAACAAATGAAAAAAGCAAAGCTTAGTATGACAGCATATTATACAGGCGAGGTTTACGTGAATATTTTAAGGCTCATCGCTGAGGCCATTGCTCAGAAAAGAAAAGATTCCTTTCAAAATATTACTGTTCATTGACAATGCAGCTCTTGATCACTCAAAGCGTGATACATAGAGAAGTGTACAAGACAGATTAAGTGTTGTTGTCAGTGCTCATCTAAGCACAAGACCATTCTGAAGAGACTATGGAACAAGGGTCATTCAACTTCAAGTGTTACATATTTAAGAAACACAGTTTCATAGGGTATAGGGTTGTGCTATTCCTGTGATGAATCTGGGCATTAGGTACATTGAAAAGGCTCCTATGAAATGGTTAACTTTTATTCGTGATATGCCAATTAGAACTCATGATTCATGGGGAGGAAGATAAAAAATATAAACATTAATAGGATTTGGAGAAACGTTGCATTCCCTAATCGCTCATGGGAGACTTGAGGTGTTCAGACTCTTGATTGCAGGCAGTGGGCAAATGAGAGAAGATGTTTTTGAGAAGTGGAGCCTGGAAGATGTGCTGAATGGCTGCAATGTCAGTAGATAAACATTAATGGATGGAGGAGAGTGCTTCCTTTGGGGCGGCAAAGAAGTGGGCTCATGAGATAGATTCTATTCCTGGTGAAGATTCAGAGAAAACTGTTGAAATGAAAACACAAGAATTTAGAATATGACATAAACTTAGTTGATAAAGCAGTGGCAGTGTTTGAAGAGTTTGAGAGGACTGACTCCAGTATTGAAAGAAGTTCTACCCTGGGTAAACAGTTCTAACACATTAACTGGCCATGTGATTGCATTTAACTCATGCTAGTTTTGAGCCTGGGGTCTCATGAAGAAGACCCTGCAGTTGGTTCATAAAAATCTTACTTGCTGATGTTCTTATTGTTACAATTAATATTGACAATTTAATTCCAAAACCATGGACTGTATTGCATATAACTCATGCACAGAAAACAATAAAAAATAACAAACTAGAAAGGATCGTTTTGTTTTAATAAAACTCCATGGCCCCAGGGAAATTTTTTTTTCCCTAGGGTGACAATGTGTTAAACAGCATCACATACTACAGAGAAATCTTTCACGAAAGAGAGTCAATGGATGTGGCAAACTTTACTGTTGTGTTTGTTATTTTAAGAAATTGCCACAGTCACCTTGACCTTTAGTAACTACCCCTTTAATCAGTCAGCAGCCATCAACATGGAGGCAAGACCCAAACCCAGCAAAAAGATTAGAGTTTGCTGAAGGCTCAGATGATTGCTAGCACTTTTCAGCAATAAAGTATTTTTGGCTGGGTGCTGTAGCTCATGCCTATAATCCCAGTCCTTTGGGAGGCAAGGCTGGAGGACTGCTTGAAGCCAAGAGTTTGAGACCAGCCTGGGCAACAGAGAGAAACCCACTACACACACACACACACACACACACACACACACACACACACACACACAATTAGCTGGGCATGGTGGTGTATGCCTGTAGTCCTAGCTACTCAGGAGCCTGGGGGGGAGGGGGAGGGTTGTTTGAGCCCAGGAGTTAAAGGCTGCAGTAAGCTATGATCTCACCACAGCACTCTAGCCTGAGCAATAGAGTGAGACCCTATCTCTACAAAAGAAAAAAATTATATTTTCCTTAAGGTATGCGCATTGTTTTTTTAGATATAATGCTATTGCATGCTTAATAAACCATGGTATAATGTAAACATAACTTTATAAGCACTGAAACATTTAAAAAATCATGTGAATCATTTTATTGCAATATTTATTTTATTATGGTGGTCTGGAACTGGACCAGCAATCTCTGAGGGATGCCCGTATAAAAAATCCTCAAAACTCAACAGTAAGAAAGTAACCCCATTGCAAAATAGGCAAAACATATGAAAAGATACCTAACCAAAGATGACATATGGATACTAAATAAGCACATGAAATTAACATTTCTCTACATGGGCAATACACAATTGGAAAAGTATAATAAAAAATAAGATGCAATAGCAATAAAAGTATGAAAGGTTTATAAATTAGCTTAGCCAAGAATAAACAAGAGCTTTACGGAAAAAAAAAAAAAAACAAAAACACCTAAAATATAAAGGAATTAGAGGAACTGAATAAATGAAGAAACTTTTCATATTCATAATTGGGACAATTAAATGTCAACAGGTATGGATCTGGAGGCATTTGAGGTTTCCATTTCTGGGAAAGTAAATAGGCAAAGAAATAAAATGTGTGCTAGACTAGGTATACACAATACAATTTTGTAAAAGACAAAGTAGGTTCATATTAAATGCTATAGAATCATAGCTCATGGGGGAAGGGACAGAGGTGGGCCAATGGAAATGAAAGAAAATGAAGTTCTAAAAACTTAGTTTTGCATATCAACAATCAAAAACGGGGGAGGGGGGAAGCCATAGATAGATCAGCCAGATGAAAAAAAATAGTTTGGGGAAAAGATCTGACTAGAGTTTCTACTGTATTGGGAATGGCCAACAAAAAAGGTCTGGAGAGAAAAAAAGTTCTAGAAGAATGTCAAGAGTATTACTCGCCTTGAGGCCCCACGTACACACAGCCCAGAGAGACATATCCAACTTGGCTCTTTAAGTAATAGAGAAGCAATAAGTAAGGGCTATGCCAAGATGGAAATGCTGAGCAAGCAATGCCTCTGCAACATCCAACATGTTGCAGAATACCCAATGTTACTATGTACCACTGTGGCAAGAATCTGCTAAACATGATGTAAGGGATTCAGAGGCGTCTGGGTTGACAAGGAGGATGCAGACTATGTGGCCCATTGCTACGTCTCATGGCAGGTTCAGTTATGAGCAATGCATACTAGCAAACATGGAATGGAACCAAAGAGACAAGTTACATCCTAGGCCATTGTGGACAGAGAACAGTTTTGGACTAGATGCTACATTCAATGACATTTCAGTTTTATGTAATCGCCCTGAACTTAATTTATTTCTGGATGAAACAGAAGGAGAAGAGGGGAGGAAGAATGTTGAATTGACTGAATTTAAATCAGTGATTGAGTTATTCTGAAATGATGAGTTTTAAGTTTTCTTGGTGACATCAAAAACAGGATTTAAGATATGTTCATTGTAGAGAAATAAAGTTATATTTCTGCACACCTTGGTTCTGATGGAAAATTCTCATCTGCTATGCCATCCTCTATGTGTATTACTGAGGTGAGAGGGAGCTAAAAATTTACATAAGTAGACATCTATACATAATGTGCTCTTTTTATCTTATCTCTTGAAGATGACAAATACTAATAATTTTAAAGTGAGAATAAATAAATTTTAAATCAATTTTAAAATTTTAATATGTAATATTCCTAGTTTTACTATACTTAAAAAATATGCCCAAATTAATTAAGATAACTTATGAAAATGGTCTGTAGTTTCTAAAATAATATAAAGAAAAAAAGCTTCTAATCCATCTTTAATTATTTGGCTTAAGTGCCTTTGTTAAGATGTCAATGCCCACATGTGATATAAAGGTGTCTAAAAAGGAGAAAGAATAGTTATTTGATGCATGAAATGTAGAAGAAAATAATGCATGTCAGATGTTATTCTCTTCGAGAAGGATCTTGAGTATAAAAAGCCACACTTGGGCTTAAAGACAAACAATTATAGGTGAAACCAGAGAAGTTTTGCAAAGGAGTATAACAAGTTAAACATTTGTTTAGTGATTATTAAAGCTAAGTTTAAAATGTTCTAACATCATTATACAATTTATTACTAATCACCAATAAATTAAATGAAAATATAGTTGTAATGCTTTGAGTTAGCCTACAAAAATGGCATGTATTTAATCATTTGGAAAAGAAAGTTGCTTTATAATTTTTTTTTATCATTCTACAACACAAAAAAGGCCCTAGTATCATTCTGGGTATTAAGAACATTCGAGAAAGTATGCGTTCATCCTTTTGGTATTCTGGAATCCTATCAGTGCCAATTTGATTTTGTAATACTTTTCCCATTTCTATAGGACACTTAAGTAAAATTACAATAAATAAAATAAACTTCCCTTGAGAATTTTAGTGAATTTTTTATGTGCTCTTAGATTCCCAGAAATACACCAATGTTTGGCAACCACATGAACTATTCATCCCAGATTTGTGTAAAAGTAGATACCTGATTCTATGACTACTAATATGAACATTTTTATTTAATTAGGAATCAGTTAAAGATGTAACTATAATACTGAACAAATTTGCCTCAGGCAATTTTATATCTATTAAGACTGTTAATTGATAATTATTATTTTTTTAATTTTTTTTTATTTTGGCATATTATGGGTACAGATTTTAAGATTTCAATAAATTGCCCATTCCCCCCCCCCCCAAAAGTCTGAGTCTCCATCATGACCATCCCCAGATGGTGCACATCTCACTCATTATGTATGTATATACCACCCCCTCCCCCTCCCCCCTCCCACCTGGCCAATACCCATTACGTAGTACTATGTGTCCACTTAGGTGCTACTCAGTTAATACCAGTTTGCTGGAGAATATATCTGGTGCTTGTTTTTCCATTCTTGGGATACTTCACTTAGTAGTATGGGTTCCAGCTCTAACCAGGAAATATAAGATGTGCTATATCACCATTGTTCTTAGAGCGAATAGTACTCCATGGTATACATATACCACATTTATTAATCCATTCTTGGATTGATGGGCACTGGCTGTTTCCACAGCCTTCAATTATGAATTGTGCTCTGATAAAACATTCGAGTTGCAGGTGTCTTTTTGTAGAGTGTCACTGGATCATTTGGGTAGATGCCCAGCAATGGGATTGCTGGATCAAATTGTAGATTCACTTGTATCGCTTTAAGGTATTCCATATTGCTTTCCACAGAGGTTGAACTAGTTTGCAGTCCCACAGCAGTGTAGGAGTGTTCCTCTCTCTCCGCAACAAACATATGAAGAAATGCTCAACATCTCTAATCATCAAGGAAATGCAAATCAAAACCACAATGAGATATCACTTAACCCCAGTGAGAATGGCCTTTATCAAAAAATCTCCAAACAATAAATGCTGGCGTGGTTGCGGATAAATTATTTTTTAACAAAACTTACAAAGCTGAGCATCTGCCTGGAGCGTTCCTCCTTTAGGATTCAGCTTCTGAGTTTGAATTGCAGGAATTGTTTGTATGATTGACCTGTGGCTCTATACATGGTTGAACCACAGTATTCTGTCCTGTTCATCATCACTGGCAAATATTACAGTATCTCCTTCTTTAACAGCATTGAGAACATGTGACGCCCTGAAGGCCTGTGGAGGGAGAAAAACATCATTAAAATTCACAGACTGGCAGATTTTAGTCTCTTCACTAACTAGCTCATGGAAAGAATGGATATGATATTTGGAGCTCAATGCTTTATTTAAATGATTTCTAGTTGAAGATCAAATCCATAATCCAAGATTTGAAAGGAAACAATAATAAGGAGGTTTAAGCTTCCATATCACTTTGGAAATGAAAAATGACTCAGCGAAACAAACAGTCCATGACACAGTAGCATTCTGCAAAGCATACAAACATAACCCTCAGAAATACACAGCATAATCTGATATTTCATGCCAGAGAAGGTTGTTTTATCTGTTGGCACATTTACCATTCCAGGAGAAATATATGAGTTACCAGAAAAAAAAAAGGTAAGGCAAAAGATGGTACTTATATTATATAGTATTTTATCTTTGAATTCTTCCAAAAAGAAGATAACATTTGCATTCTTAAGTGACCAATTAGTGAATATGATCACAGATTTCTATTTCTTACTCTCTATTCATTAATTTCCATCTCTAATTATTAATATCTACAATTTTAATCTTATTATATTAATATCCATATATTCATTACTTTTTTAGATATCAGGTATCCAGTATGATTCCTAGTATTTATGGAGAGAGAGAGAGAGGAGAAGTACAATAAGGTATTATTGGGAAAATTAGTAGAGTATATAATAATTTATTTCCATTCTTTCCTATTTCTGTTGAACTTTGTTTCCAGATCTCCACTGAAAAATTTATGTAAGCATTGTTAATTCTCATATAATTGTTTCATTACAGTAACTTTCTATATTTCATTCTTTGACTAAATAACAAAGATGATGAATTATAGCTAAAAGCAAAAGCCTCCAAAAGAAATATTTGATCTCCTAAAGTCTTGTCCAGCTATATAAGTGAAATACATACCCTATTAAGTGAGTGGAGTTTGAAATGTAGGACAGGATATTTATAAGAATTTCGTGCACACGTGCCTGGTAGGGAGAATGATTCAATTTAGAATTACCTGTGTGGGGATCTGTATAGTCCACAGTGTATCCTTCAAGCTGCATTAATTCTTGTGGTTCAGATTTTTTTCTCTGTAACTGCACATAGCAAAGGTATACTGGCTAACCTGCTCAAGACAAAAAAGTTTGATGGTTGGTCACAATAAATTTATAAAATTTAACTTTTAGCTTTTTCTTTATCAGAAGACTTTTTGACCAAATAAAAATACAACATAATACATATACATTTTCAAAACCTAGCTCAGGGATCAAAGCAGCTTTCATTTGTTAGCTTGCATTTGTTAGGTCTTCCATGCCCATGATCCAGCATTTCCCAAGTCAAAGATTTGTTGGCCAAGCCTCTATGGGATATTGACAGAGCACCATATAATAAGTTTGAAACCATTAGGTTACATAAAGATAACCTAACCTTCTCTTACTTCAGGGTTGCACGTGGCCTTTTTTTTTTGAGACAGAGTCTCGTCTGTTGCCCGGGCTAGAATGCCGTGGCATTAGCCTAGCTCACAGCAACCTCAAACTCCTGGGCCCAAGCAATCATTCTGCCTCAGCCTCTCGAGTAGCTAGGACTACAGGCATGAACCACCATGACCGGCTAATTTTTTGTATATATTTTTAGTTGGCCAATTAATTCTTCTATTTTAGTAGAGATGGGGTCTCGCTCTTGCTTAGGCTGGTCTTGAACTCCTGAGCTCAAATGATCCAGCCACCTCGGCCTCCCAGAGTGTTCGGATTACAGGAGTGAGCCACCGTGCTGGCCCATATGGCCTTTATTATGCTAACATAAGACTGTAAATCTCTAAAATAAGAGTAGTAGTAGTTCCAACCTTATATAATTATGGGATCACATTTTCAAGCATACTTATTTCAAGATTTTTAACCAAAGTAAAACAAGATCTTGATAAAAGTTGAGAATTTATTTCCCACATAACCAAAGCCATAGGAAGTACCAGGAAGGTGTTAAGTTTTAGGCAGCCAGTGACAACCCAAGATCTGCTCTGCCTCTCAATTCCTCTCCTCTTTTGGAACAGGCTTTATTTTCTTTACTGAAGTCTCACTTGGTTAGAACTATAGCTGCCAACAGCTTTGAAGCCACTACCCTGAGTTCTCAGCTTGGGTCATAAGGCCAGATTTGGACCAAATACTGTGGCTAAGGGGAGAAAGTTTCAATAACTCAGTTTGGGTCAACAGCTCACATACGTAGCAAATAGTCAGGGTGTTACAACTTCTCCCAAAATAGAGTGAGATGCTATTTCCTGCAGCAGAAAAGATGTTTTGGTGGATTAATAAATACCTGAAGTGCAAAATATCCTACAAAACAGGATTCCATGGAACAGTTTGGTAATGTGAATTATTTCCCTTTTTAAACATAAAATGAAACTAAGGAAAAATAATATCCTTCAGTAGACAATGATTACTTCAAGAAAGACCCCAAAGCTGGAGAGAAAAAAATCTAGAAGAATGTCAAGAGATTACTCGCCCTTGAGGCCCCACGTACACACAGCCCAGAGAGACAAATCCAACTTGGCTCTTTAAGAATAGAGAAGCAATAAGTAAGGGCTATGCCAAGATGGAAATGCTGAGCAAGCAATGCCTCTGCACATCCAACATGTTGCAGAATACCCAATGTTACTATGTACCACTGTGGCAAGAATCTGCTAAACATGATGTAAGGATTCAGAGGCGTCTGGGTAGACAAGGAGGATGCAGACTATGTGGCCTCATTGCTCAGGTCTCATGGCAGGTTCAGTTAGAGCAATGCATACTAGCAAACATGGAATGGAACCAAGAGACAAGTTACATCCTAGGCCATTGTGGACAGAGAACAGTTTTGGACTAGATGCTACATTCAATGACATTTCAGTTTTATGTAATCGCCCTGGAACTTAATTTATTCTGGATGAAACAGAAGGAGAAGAGGGAGGAAGAATGTTGAATGACTGAATTTAAATCAGTGATTGAGTTATTCTGAAATGATGAGTTTTAAGTTTTCTTGGTGACATCAAAAACAGGGATTTAAGATATGTTCAATTGTAGAGAAATAAAGTTATATTTCTGCACACCTTGGTTCTGATGGAAAATTCTCATCTGCTATGCCATCCTCTATGTGTATTACTGAGGTGAGAGGGAGCTAAAAATTTACATAAAGTAGACATCATACCATAATGTGCTCTTTTTATCTTATCTTTGAAGATGACAAATACTAATAATTTAAAGTGAGAATAAATAATTTTAAATCAATTTTAAAAATTTAATATGTAATATTCCTAGTTTTAACTTACTAAAAATATGCCCAAATTAATTAAGATAACTTATGAAATGGTCTGTAGTTTCTAAAAATATATAAAGAAAAAAAGCTTCTAATCCATCTTTAATTATTTGGCCTTAAGTGCCTTGTTTAAGATGTCAATGCCCACATGTGAATTAAAGGGTGTCTAAAAAGGAGAAAGAATAGTTATTTGATGCATGAAATGTAGAAGAAAATAATGCATGTCAAGATGTTATTTCTTCGAGAAGGATCTTGAGTATAAAAAGCCACACTTGGGCTTAAAGACAAACAATTATAGGTGAAACCAGAGAAGTTTTGCAAAGGAGTATAACAAGTTAAAACATTTGGTTTAGTGATTATTAAAGCTAAGTTAAAAATGTTTCTAACATCATTATACAAATTTATTACTAATCACAATAAATTAAATGAAAAATATAGTTGTAATGCTTTGAGTTAGCCTACAAAATGGCAGTATTTTAATCATTTGGAAAAAGAAGTTGGCTTTATAATTTATTCTTTTTATCATTCTACAACACAAAAAAGGCCCTAGTATCATTCTGGGTTTATTAAGAACAATCGAGAAAGTGATCAGGTTCATCCTTTTGGTATTCTGGAATCCTATCAGTGCCAATTTGATTTTGTAATACTTTCCCATTTCTATAGGAACTTAGTAAATTACAATAAACTAAAATAAACTTTCCCTTGAGAATTTTAGTGAGATTTTCTTATGTGCTCTTAGATTCCCAGAAATACACCAATGTTTGGCAACCACATGAACTATTCATCCCAGATTGTGTAAAAGTAGATACCTGATTCTATGACTACTAATATGAACTATTTTTATTTAATTAGGAATCAGTTAAAGATGTAAACATAATACTGAACAAATTTGCCTCAGGCAATTTTATATCTTATAAGACTGTTAATTGATAATTATTTTTTAACAAACTTACAAAGCTGAGCATCTGCCTGGAGCGTTCCTTTAGGATTCAGCTTCGAGTTTGAATTGCAGGATTGGTTTGTATGATGACCTGTGGCTCTATAATGGCTTGAACCAGGCAGAGGCACACCATTGCAAAGCACAGAGCAATCAGAAGAATGAGATTAGACCCCTCCCAGAAACATAGATGAATTTTAAAAACATAGAGCTGAACGAAATAAGTAAAACAGAAAGATAAATACCACAATACCTTTTATGCAGCTTGACACTCACTAAATATACACATACACAATACAATTTTGTAAGAAGACAAAGTAGGTTCATATTAAATGCTATAGAATCATAGCTCATGGGGGAAGGGACAGAGGTGGGCCAATGGAAATGAAAGAAAATGAAGTTCTAAAAACTTAGTTTTGCATATCAACAATCAAAAACGGGGAAGGGGGGGGGAAGCCATAGGTAGATCAGCCAGATGAAAAAAAATAGTTTGGGGAAAAGATCTGACTAGAGTTTCTACTGTATTGGGAATGGCCAACAAAAAAGGTATCCTTCCGAGCTAATTGTGAAAAAAAATAACATGGACTATAATAAATTAATAAATTCTCTTCATTAAAGGGACCATGAAGAAAGTAAAAAAAAAGCCATAGACTAAGATATACACAAAACATATATTCAACAAAGAACTCACATCAGAAACATAAAGAATATATAAATCAATCAGGAAAACCCAGAACACATGGTAGAAAAATGGGCTCTTTCATTTTCACATTTTTTTTTTCAAAACCACTTTCTGTACTCCAGACCAGCAAGAAAGGTTTGAGATAGTGACATGAGCAAGGTGTAGAGAACAGCATTGTTACTTTTAAAATGAAAAAAAATGTCTTTTCTGCTTCTAGAAGGGAGGTGGTCACCAAAGCAAAAGGCAGAGTTTCCTTGTGATATTAGAGCCTGTTAAACTGCACAACAGATTTCAAATTTAAAACCTAAGTTATTTATTTATTTATTATTTTTATTTCAATAGATTTAGGGTGTACAAGTGGTTTTTTGTTATAAGGATGAACTGCACAGCAGTGGAGTCTGGGGTCTAGTATACCCGTTACCTGAATAGCGTACATCGTACTTGATAGGCAATTTTTGATCCCTCATCCCCTTCCTTAAAATTTAAGATTAACATGACTATAACACACCACTAGAAACAATACTGATTAGATTATTAAGAACAGTTGCTAACATATAGTGTTAGTAACTATACAGAGAAATACACATTCTTACAAACTTGTGGGAATGGAGGCTGGTGAAGACATTCTGGAAGGCCATCTGGCAGCAGGTACTGTGATGTACTTATGCTTTATGTGCCAACCTGGTTAGGCTACAGCATCCAGTTATTTAATCAGTATGAATCTAGATATGGCTGTGAAAGTATTTTGTAGATATGGTTAACATCTATAATCAGTTGACTTTAAGTAAAAAAGATTATCCTCAATATATATATGGGTCTCATACAATCAACTGCAGGCCTTAAGAGCAAAAACTGAGGTTTCCTGAAAAGAAGTTTCGCTTCAACACTGCATTATTACTCCTGAATTCCAGCCTGCTGTCCTCTCTGGAGAACTCTCACAGATATAATACCAAATGCCTGACTATTAATTATACATTTCCTTTGATAAAGCAAATCTCCTACTAGGAATTTATCCATAAGAAACAAGGGGGAAAATGCCCAAACAGGTATGTGCAATGTGTTCACTGCCGTGTTACATATAAGCAAAAATGATACAAACAATCAGGTGGTTTGGATGAAATACATTATTGTATGACCATACAGTATAATACCATGAACCATTAAAAGAGAGAAGATAGATTTTTTTTTTCCTAACAGGGCAACTATTTCTAAGATACATTAT